TAAGCTTTACAAAATGCTATAATATTTACATAATTTGATGTCTGTTAAACCTGTAAAACATGTTTCTGTACCTAATCATGATATCGTGGCTACTACAACTAATACTAATGACAAATGATAATAATAATAATAATAATAATAATAATAATAATAATAATAGAAACTTAATTAACATGTCTTTCATTCTAGCTTCATTCTAGCTTCATTACAGAAACTAATTGGGGACACCTATCTGAAAGTATTATTAAATACAAAATCTAATCTAAAGACAATCTATCTACGTGAAGCCTTGGAGCTGACTGGCTCATACCTGCCAGAGCTTACCCTGGTTTCTGTAGCACGAAGCGGCTAGGAGTATTTCTACTCCCCCTGGACGGGATCCTAGTCCATCGCAGGTCAATCCCCCGCAATTTTTAGGTTTCCCCAACAATTTGGCGGTACGCATTTATACTCCTGGGTGGAGTCTGAGAGGTACTGTGAGAGTTAAGTGTCTTGCCCAAGAACACAACACAATGTCCCTGGCCAGGGCTCGAACCCGGACCACTTGATCTGGGGACGAGTGCACTAACCATGAGACCACTGTGCCTCCACACATCTAAAGATATTATTAGATACAAAATCTGAGATAAATAAAAGTCCCTCCAAGTCTCTTTGCAGGATCTACCTCTTATCTATGCATAACAAGTATGATAACTAATTATTACATAAATGACAATCCTTGCAATTATTACTGAAAATAACTGTAAGGTTTAACTTTCCCACTTTACTTTTAAGGTAATTTCCCTGAAATAAAACTGCACATAGATTTTCGTTCAAACTTTGTCCAATGAATATTTATCATATGAGAACTTTAATTATAAAATAAAAAAGGGGGGTGCCCATGCTCATTAAGGAGCAGTGAGGCATTTTAGCGTTATTTAATGCTTATTACAAGAATACATTCCAAGTTATTGTAAACTCTTTGTGAGCCCAGACTCATGAAAACACACCTCAAACTACAGTCAATACTTGTGTCGGACACAAGTAAACTTTTTAAGTTTGATCTTGACAGGAAGCTGAATCCTTGTTAAAATATTGGGACCAAATTGCTTGCCATGGCTATCAAATTGCAAAATAGAAAAGACTACAGTGCAGCTGCTATTTTCCTTATTTATTCAATTTTCAACAATAGAAATCAGATCGCTCTTTTCTCACGTAAAGCAAATGATTAGTTGATGAAAATGACTGGAAAAAAATTTGGGGTGACCGAGCTCTTTAGTGAGCTATAGCCATTCTTCAACTGACAGAACTTAATATCAAGGCAAATCCACCATGTTTTCAATGTGCAGGTGCACAAACGTGCGCTAATAACGCCATGAATTATGCGCAGTAAGGATGTGCAATGCAATACTGGGGAATGACCTTTAAAGGATACAAGGTTTCGATCATTTTAATAGATATTGGGAGCTNTGGAACCAAATTGCTTGCCATGGCTATCAAATTGCAAAATAGAAAAGACTACAGTGCAGCTGCTATTTTCCTTATTTATTCAATTTTCAACAATAGAAATCAGATCGCTCTTTTCTCACGCAAAGCAAATGATTAGTTGATGAAAATGACTGGAAAAAAATTGGGGCGACCGAGCTCGTTAGTGAGCTATAGCCATTCTTCAACTGACAGAACTTAATATCAAGGCAAATCCGCCATGTTTTCAATGTGCAGGTGCACAAACGTGCGCTAATAACGCCATGAATTATGCGCAGTAAGGATGCGCAATGCAATACTGGGGAATGACCTTTAAAGGATACAAGGTTTCGATCATTTTAATAGATATTGGGAGCTTAGACCAAATCAAAGGACCCATATATCTTAAACTGTGTCTTCCGTAGGTATCATATTATATCTTAATCTAGGCAAGGAAAAATTGTCTGTATTCCTTAAAAGTCTACAATTACTCATATTTACAACTAAATAGTTCTGAAATAAATGTTGGAACCAAAAATCTTGTTTTTAGTCTAAAAGATGATTTCCAGTCTGTACTGTGCACTCTCGAGAGTTTGTTTGCATTTTTTGTTTTGTGTCATGTTAAATACATCACAAAATGTAAACATTTCGCAGCTACTTACATGAAGTAAATTCAAAGTTTCAAAACAACCACAATTTTGGATGCGAAGTGGTCGAAGCTTTATGCTTTGTTCTTTCTCATATCACTTAATGAAACAACTTCGCAGGTGTAAAAATCAATGACGCTGTTGGAAAAAGAATTTGAAAGGCCTCAAAGATAAGGTGGTTTGTAATGAATAACATTGATTCACATTCCATTGAGTGAGATTAACAATGTTTATAAACATTAGGGTGCTGAAACTGCGCATTACGGACTGGAAACTTTAAACATGAACCCTTTTAAAGCCCTGGAGAAAAACCTTATTTTTATAAAATGAAATGAAAACATTTAAAAATGCCTTATTCCTTGTATATATTGGGTAATATACCCCTAAACAATAGCTTAATTTGCAGCTCTGGGTGTGCATATTTTTGTCAGATATTCGTTTCACCATAAAATTGTAAAGTGCAGGACGTCAAGGTAAATGGCCATTTTTAACTATTCAGGGTACGATCNAATGAAGCTGTTGGAAAAAGAATTTGAAAGGCCTCAAAGATAAGGTGGTTTGTAATGAATAACATTGATTCACATTCCATCGAGTGAGATTAACAATGTTTATAAACATTAGGGTGCTGAGACTGCGCATTATGGACTGGAAACTTTAAACATGAACCCTTTTAAAGCCCTGGAGAAAAACCTTATTTTTATAAAATGATAACAGTAGATCGAAAGACCACAAGTAATATACCAGGAGAAAGGTATTGTTTGGGGTGTGTCCTAAATCACTACAAAAGACATACAAGAATTCACAAATTGAATTGAGGAGTCTGCAAAGTAAAAAAAAAATGAAAACATTTAAAAATACCTTATTCCTTGTATATATTGGGTAATATACCCCTAAACAATAGCTTAATTTGCAGCTCTGGGTGTGCAGATTTTTGTCAGATATTCATTTCACCATAAAATTGTAAAGTGCAGGACGTCAAGGTAAATGGCCATTTTTAACTATTCAGGGTACGATC